ATTATGCTATAGTGAAATTACCTCAAACACTTTCTGAATTTTGAAAGACTAGAAATTTTTCATCCAATAGCAGATATATTTAAAAAATAAGAAAATTCCATTGACTCCTATGATAACTCTTTTTACTTTAAGCAAATATAACTCATTTTTTAAATAAACTAAAGAGAGATGCCAGGTTATTAATTATAATTACATATTATTATTATGCAATTTCAGTTTGATTTCTTTTTTTGTGAGGAGTTAAAAGGCGCTGAAGTTCAGATCTTACAAAATGGCCATCAGCGGGGGTGAGGGGTAATATATTCTTACTGAATCTTTGCCAACTTATGTCCATATTAATTCACATTAGTTTGGATTAGAGCTTGATATAGTCTCAAAGAATAAAATGTGAAGGAAGTCATTTTTCTTTACAGCGGCAGTCACATGCTCATGATCACAACAGGCATTTTCTTCTTAATTACAATTCATTTTGATTGAATTAGTATGCTCATCTGAAATTACCTTGAGATTAAGGAAAATCATGGACTTGGTACATTTCTAGAATTAAAAATAATTTTTAAAACATTCAACGTATCATCTACTCAGCATATTTCCCCACTTGTTAATTACCATGCTGTCCATGGAGAAATCCATTATTTAAGGCAACTTTGCAATCATTAGTAGCAGACTTCCACCTTTCTTGTAAGGCAGGTCAATTTAATAATTTCTTACTGCAAATAAAAAATTCCAGGTTAGGCACCAAAATACCCAAAATATTAATTACTATTGCATAGGTACAATTGCTTATAATACTGTAATATATTCCCTAGCATTTAGAAATTCTACCACTGTGTAACGATGTCAGTGTATCCTAGTTATATGCTATTTTGGCTCTTTAACGCTAGAGAGGTCTCCATAGGGGCTGACATTGCCGCCTACAAAGGCTAAGTAGCCTATAAAACCTTGGCTAATCGTTTATCTGGTCAGGCAGTTGGTTAGCACAGGAATGGCAGAAGGCCTCAAGGTAACTTTGTCCAAAAGGCAGCTGGAAAAAGTGGGACACCAAGGTACAAGCACAGCCCTGCACTGAATAGGCTCACTGATTAGAGCAAGAATCCATTGAACTAGAGAAAGCAGAGTTAGTAAATAAAAATAAAGTCATTTCAGTCCATAGATCTAGAGCAAGGAGCACAGGTGAGTAGAAAGCAGCGATTTTTCCTCCAGACATAATGGCAAGAGTTTGGCCAAGAAGAAATGAGGCTCCATAAAAAGTAAAATGCATGGACCATTCAATTCCAGGTGGCCCAGGTCATGGCCCCCGCCCCAGCGACCCCAAAATAATTTTATTACAACATGAATAGCTACCAGTAAAACAAGTAAAGACTCTCGTGCAGTGGAGCAAATTTTGGCCTCACTACCTCCGGCTTAGTGGGGGAAGCCTGGGAAGAGGTTTGGAGGAGTTTTGAAGGATCAGTGAAGGAGGGGAAGGATTTGGATTTTGTTTAAAGGGTTAAATGGAGCCTGAAGCCTTCCTGTGAAGACACCTTAGATTGGTTTTGGCACTGGCTGCTCCAGTTGTGGTCACTGTGATTCATAAACAAAATGTCCTTGGTGTAAATGACCTCATCTATCCTGTCTGATGCCTTCATTCCGTGAAAGGGAAATTACAGGTGGAGGTGAGTCAACCACCTGGGACTAGGCTGAGGGCTTGCTCTGCTCTGGATTTGCTGAGTGAACTTGGAAAAAGCACCTAATGTCTTCAGAGCTGTGTTGTGTTTTTTTTAGTAAAATTGATGAATTAAACTAAATTAATTAGCTCAAAAACTCCCTTCTAGCTGTACCAGTCAATAGGCGTAGACATATCCTGTGCTCACTGTTCTCGGGAGATGAGTACCTAAGTGGCCTGAAGCTGGTAAGTGCTTTGTGACTTACTCATGATTTATTTGCAGAGCAAATGTAGCCCAGGGGGTCTGAGATAGAGATGGGTTGACCCAAGCACATTGATTCAGTGCCTAAATGAAGCATCTTAGACATGTCGCCTGGGGCTGGGAGAATTTATTGATATGGATAAAGATCTACTGTCTGTCAAAGCTGCAGGTGCTGAAGAGGCCCAAGTGCTCTGACAAATGGCCTTAACCCCACCCTGCACCTCCAATTATGTCACTTAGCAGTCCCCAGGGAGGTCCCCCCTGTCCTTCTCCAGCACAGCATGTCCCTCTCTCCTACTTTCAAACCTTAGGAGTACCATTAGCCCTAAGAATTTATCAAAGGGGACCTCAGGAGACTTAACCCCACCCCTTCCAATGATCCTCAACAGCTTTCCAAAAATAAGCCACAGAAGCATAATATCTGTAAAAACAAACACAACTTTAGGGCAACTTCCCCAGTCTCTTTCCAGCTGCACTACCAACCTAGAGCCTTACGGACGCACGCAATCTAGAGCTTCTGATGAGATTTAATGCAGGCCTACTGTGTGCTTGGTCATTGCACTGGTGGATTGACTAGTTGCAACTCAGGTAGAGGTTATAGCAGCAAGTGTCTTCTGGGTCCTGTTGCTGAGGGGTCTGGGTGATCATCAGACACTTAAGGTCTGTCTGACTGGTGTTGCAGGGAGGCAGCCATGGCAAAGGAAAGAGAAGCACCCCTAACAGCTGCTCAGTCTTGTTGGAGTAGTGGCCTCACATATGATTAGTGCCAACTCCCACTGGAATATGGGCTCCATGATGGCAGGGGCCTTGTCTGTTTTACTCACGATTCTGGCTTTAGTGTTGACACTCGGGAGGCACTTGTCATTGCAGGTTGGACAATCAATGAAGAGGCTACTTAGTACAGTGGTTAATAGACCCTGGATTCAAATCCCAACTTCACTGCTCACTAACTGGAAATGTAGGAAAGAGATTAAATGTTTCTGTGTAGCAATTTCCTCATTTTTAAAGTAGGAATAATAATGATATATATCTCAAAGCTGGTTATATGTAGGTTAAATGAATTGATATTTATTACTGGTGCCTGGCAAGCGCTTTAAATGTTTATTAAATAAGTAGATTAATCAGTTTACATTCCCTAAGTCCTTTTCCTTCATTATTGAGGTTTTGTTTTTAGAACTAAAGTCTGAGTCTGCGAGAACACATTCTAACAAGCGTGGGTCCGGACACAAACATACTTCTGCCTTGAGACCTCTGGCTCTGCAGCTTTCTACTTAACTGATGCTTTGAAGCATCTCTTTTCATTAACTTTATTCATATGCTCCTTGACTTACCCTTCTTGACTTAGAGCTACTTGGAAGCCAGCACCATCCAAGAGAGCCCGAGTGAGAGCGGGTGCTCAGTGGCTTGGGGACGGATGCGTCCTTACTCAGCGAGTGGCTGTCTAGTGAGTCCTCTCTCGCTCACTCCTGGGAAGGAAATCACAACCCCCTCCCAGCGTCTTCTTTTCCCACAGTCCATCCGTGTCTGATGTCATCCCCAGGCCTGGTCCCCCTAACCTCCCCATCCCACTGCTGTCGTCACCAGCACTATCTCTGTTTGACCACCGGCTCCCCTCACCCCCCTTTTGCTTTCCCCCAATACCTGTTGTCCTTTACCTGTCTCCTCCACTGGCTTGCAACCTTTGACATTTATATTTGCAAACTTGCTTGCCTCTGCCTTTTATTTAAGTCAGGCAGATCCTTTTGGTAAACTGTAAAAGAATTAATTTCAAACAAAATATTATTATTATTTTTCTTTGCAATCTTTTATTTTTCCCATTCACTCTCATTATCACCCCAGGCTGCCCCATTGTTCATTGGAAACCCTTTTTTCCTCACGGGTTACAAATTCTTTGTGACAGTATTTAAAAAAAAAAAAAATTATTTTGCTATTGTTTTGGATTATGTTCGGAGTTCTGCTGGCCAGAGCAGTGATTTAGTGCCAACTTTACCCGATTTAATCCACATCGCAGGTAAAGTGTGAGGAAGCAAAGTAGATGGCATGGTTCACCACCCAGGCTCTGCCTTTGAAGCGATTTTGATCTGCTTAGCTGGATGGAAATAACACAGGAAATATTCAGACAATAGTGCAAGCCAGTCCATAAGATAAAGCCTTCTGAACTTAAATCATTTGCTCACAAACTCTGAAATGCTCCAAAACCTTCTTTGCCTGGGGCCATTCTGTGCAAGTGTAGTTATGCATTTGTTGTTCCTTTATTGTGTATTTTTAAGTATTGCTGTCCTAGTTACTTTTATGTTTTAAACTCCGCAGGGATCAGGATCTCATCTTCTCTTTCATCTATGTTTTCACCGTGTCCAGGATGTCTGCACAGAGAGGGCACTAGGTGAATGCCCCGATGCACAGATGGTTACTGGCACCTGAGAGGACCCATTCTGGGTGTTCTGGGTGCAGAGGCTCAGAGGAAGAGCCCACAGGCCCCGAGTTTGCAGCCCCTGTGGCTCTTTAGACACTCCTGTGCCTCTGAACAGTCTTACTAATGAAACTGACTTTCAGGGGCTAATTCTGCAGTCACAGATCCTGATTATTATTCCTATTTTAAGAACCATTTTTCTTCTGCCTTTTCGAGCTCCACCCCCAGGGGAGTAACAGTGGTAGATTGGTTATGCTAAACACCCCACCTCGGGGGTTCAATTTTGATTTTTTCACAGCAACCCAGTCATTTATATCGTGGAGATGGACTTATCTTGAAACTTCACTAAGCCATTTAATTTTTTAAATCATAAGTCTAGATATTGTGTCTGTATTTTAAGTCCTCTCTTGATTCCCAGGGAATACTCAGTGAAGCAGGAAACTCAACTTCATGCCCTCTTTTGCTGTCTTTTTTTTTTTTGCCTTTTCTCACCTCAAATGCTAATAATGTGCAGCTGAGCAGTGAGTATTAGCGAATGTTTTATACTTTGTTTGCATTTACCCTTTTAACCATAAAGCAGATGTGGGCAAGACAAGCACACAAAGATGGAAGCAATTCTAGGGATAACCAGAGAATGTGGTGTGGTCCATTGTTTTAATTTTTTAAATTTTTGTGTGCTTTAGTCTTTAGACCTGTGGACAAGACATTATGCCTGGGCCCCGCCCCTGCAGCCTCCCAGCTCTGCAGCATTCCTTGCTCTACAGACTGTGTGGTGTCCTCCTGGTCAGCCTGGGGCCCGTGCATCCATGAAAACTGCCAGGATCCGCAGGGCAGAAAAGGTGAGTGGCTTGTTTGTGCCTCATTTACTTCCAGTGCACACATGTTTATCTGGAGGCTCAGTGGCCGATTAAGCCTGCTTACTACAATATTTGTTTGTAAAATTTAGATAAGCAGCTCAAGCCTGACAGCATTCAGTTATTAGGGGGGCCACTGGGGCATTTCTGTGGAACACATACTCTGACCTTGATTGACCTTCCAGTTAGGCTCTTGCTAGTGGAGTGACTGTTACTCAAAAAGTGATATAACTTGATGTTTGATATATGTAGCAGGATACTGAGGAAATTAAACGTGATTTCTGAAACACCTGGGGAAACAACTGTTTTGCATATCTGGTTTCAGACTCCCACGCGCTGACTTTGATGTTGTTTCATAGCTTCATGAGGGGCATTTATGCGTGTTGCTCACTTTCCGATGTCCTCAGCCTTAAAGTGGAATCTGAAAACTTTATGTGCTTGTTTAATTTTGTGGGCCTCTGTAGTCTCGCTTTCTTCTATTTGCTGTTAACGTCTTGACATCTCTTCCATTGGCTTTTCGATTTGCATTAATATTTTGTCCCATTAAATGGCAGTGCTAAAAAGAAATATCCCCTTTACTGAGACAAATGAGACCCAAGGACATTCTGGAAGTTGGGTTGCGTTTCCTAAGCACTCATCCTTGTTATCACAGGGGAAGAAAGAGTAAGTGGGCAAGCCTCTGATGTTTCAGAGCTGCTAATCTTGTCCGAAATTTGGGTCCATTTGAAAGCCCACATTTCAGCAGCTCCCAGGATGCACAGATGCACATTATGTGCATGCCCAGGTTCACACACCCTGTCCCTGGGCTTTTCCCTTTATTCTGCCTCTGGCTCTAAGGCCGGGGAGGAGGGTATGTATTGAGTCTAAAGCAAGAGGAAGAAGTTAACTTTAATTCTGTTATCAAACAATAGAAATCTGGATCTCAGTGGAATCTGGAGTGGGTGAGGGCTAGTGCTACTTTCTTATTTGACATGTAACCTGAACATCCCCCAAGCCTTGTCAGCTATGGATACAAATAATTTCTCATTAATACTAAGACCCACAATCCATGGTCTTATGGTCCACATGTGTATAACTGGACCATGTAAGTCTCTTGTAATTGCATATGAAACTTCCCAGGGTGACTTACATGTTATTAGAACCAGCCCTCTTATGTTTGACCTGTGCCACTCTGTTTTAAGGTCACCATTTAGAAAATGACCTGAGCCCGGCTAGGTGTGGCTCAGTGGTTGAGCGTCGACCTAAAGATCCAGGCGACTGGGGTCCGATTCCCGGTCAGGGCACATGCCCGGGTTGCGGGCTCGATCAGTGACTCTCTCATCATTGATGTTTCTATCTCTCTCTCTCCCTCTCCTTTCCTCTCTCTGAAATCAATAAATTTATTTAAAAAAAAGAAAAAAAAAGAAAAAGAAAATGACCTGAGGTTGGACTTAGGCTCCTCCAGCCTCTGTGGCCTCCAACATGTGACTGTCGATGTTGGTGCAACTTTGCTGCATTGAGTGTCACCTTCCTTTGTTTTCCAAGTTGTAGAACCTACACCAGGCCAAGTGGGTCTTACATTATTTGGGACTTTTTTTTTCTTGGAGGGAGGCTTGATCAGAAGGACTTGGGGCCCTGGACACTTTTGGTTATAGATGACATAAACACAATTTGAAGTGACTTAAGGCAAAGGAAGGGATTTAGTAGCACATATAACAAAAAAATAGAAAGGAATATAGGGCTGCATCCAAAAGTATCAATGAGGTTATATGTCTCAGTCTTTTTCATTCTTTCTCTTTCTCTTTATAATCTTCTGTTTCTACAGTCTTCTTGTTGCCTTTAAAATCTTCTCTCTCTCCGTATTTTGGTTTTACTTTGTGTGTATTAGGTTCAGTTTAAGGCAGGCCCTCTCCATGGGGAAAGACCAGCCTTAGTTTTGTTTAACTGCTAAACTTTTATTGTGTGTCCTTCTTGTTGGCAGATTTACTTTTAGTTAACATATGCCTTTTAGTGATTACTCATCTTATGACTTGTAGGGCAATAGCAAATTGTCCTAACTATTTGAATCACTCCAATTTGAAACATCCGAACATTAAATTGATTAACAAAAACCCTAGTATTAGATGTTGTTCTAAATCACTTCAGTGATAAATTACTTGTTTTCTGTTTCTTTGAAGGCAACATAACCTTCAAACATATTTTCACCAATGACATTTGATTTAAAATTAGGCAACACTACCTTCGCCTAATAGTCTATGTTCAAGTAACACTTGTGATTTCAGTAGGGCACATGGTGAAAGTCTCTCAATTTCATTTAAACTTTCAGACCTAAAAAAGCATCAACATGGTCTACAGATTGCAAATTGGAGAGTGAGGCTAAGGTTTTCCTCCGCTTGATTCTTAGATCCATTTTTTTATATGTCTTAGGTTTCTAGATCTAATTGTATCATAGAATCTATAAATACGTTTTATGTGGAAGTATTTTTTCTTCCAAAATATTGTAATAAAATCAACATAGTGTCTTATAAAGGATGACATCTTTATATATATATATATAAATATATAAATATATAAATATATATATATTTAATCCTTACCCTAGGATATTTTTTTCCATTGCTTTTTAGAGAGAGAGAGAAAAAGAGAGAGAAAGAGAGAAACATCAATGTGAGAGAGACATATCAATTGGTTGCCTTCCGCAAGCACCCCAGCCTGGTTCAGGGATCAAGCCTGCAACAGAGGTTTGTGCCCTTGGCTGGAATTGAACCCGGGACCCTTCATTCCGCAGGCTGACACTCTAACCACTGAGCAAAACAGGCTAGGGCTTATTATATTTTTAATGTTCAATTTTTTTCAGCTTTATTGGGATTTAATTGACATATAACATGGTATAATTTTAGGGTATACAACATGACAATTTGATATGCATAAACATTGCCAAGGGATTACCACAATAAGGTTAATTAACACATCCATTACCTCACATAGTTACCATGTGTGTGTGTGTGTGTGTGTGTGTGCATGTGTATCTGTGGTAAGTTTTAAGATCTACTGTATCGCCTGGCCGGGCGTGGCTCAGCGGTTGAGCATCGACCTAGGATCCAGGAGATTGCGGTTCGATTCCCGGTCAGGGCACAGGCCTGGGTTGCGGGCTCGATCCCCAGTCGGGGGTGTGCAGGAGGCAGCCGATCAATGACTCTCTCATCCTTGATGTTTCTGTCTCTCTCTCTCTCCCTCTCCCTTCCTCTCTCTGAAATCAATAAAGACATATTTAAAAAAAAGAAAAAAGAGCTACTGTATCTACACCCCCCACCCCACCCTTTTTCATTACAGTGTTATTCACAATCGTCAGGACATGGAAACAACCTAAGTGTCTGTTGACAAATGAATGGTTAAATAAAATGTGATGTATGCCTATATACACACACATATAAATATATAAATACACATTCACCCACAAAGGAATGTTATTTAGCCATAAAAAGAAGGAAATCCTGCCATTTGTGATAACATGGATGAACCTTAAAAGCATTATGCAAAGTGAAATGTCAGACAGAGAAAGACAAATACTGTTTGATCTCCCTTCTATGTGGAGTCTTAAAACAAAACAAAAATACTGAATTCATGAAACCGAGAGTAGAATAATGGCTGCCAGGAGCTGGGGGCAGGGGAAATAGGGAGATGATAATGAAAGGACACAGACTTCCAATTATAAAGTGACTGCATTCTGAGGTTCTAACGTATAGCATTCTGACTACAGTTAATACTGTATTGTGTGCTTGAAAGTTGCTGAGAGTAGATCTTAAAATTCTCACCATAAAAAAAAAAAAGTAATTTCCTTTTTAGATAGTAAATAAAGTAGAAAGAAATGTTTTTCCTAATAGTCCCAGAACTGAATCTCATCGGCTGATATGTGTCACGTGCTCTTCTCTGACCCAGTTGCTCTGGTGGGGCTGGAGGGGCCAGGTCCCCCCAAGGGATAGCTCCATCCAACCCTTCCAGATTAAAAGTGGGAGAGAAGCGACTCCCTCCAGGAAATATGAGGTGCTGATACTACAAAACAGTAGAAGCAATGCTCTGGCCAGACTTAATAGATGTTTATTAAATGCCTTGTCTCCTTTACTCTGGGCCATAGAGTCTCTACAGAAATTCAGACAATCTTCCCCACCCCCCAATTCTGTGCTGTAATTTTTGTCACTTGAGCCCAAATTTTCACAAAAAGCTATTCTGCATAACTCAGAACTGGTCCATGGAGCTCAGTTGGGACACTCACAACATTCTGGCCCCTCCATCTGCCAAACTCTTTCCTCATTGGCCCCTATTCCCCTATTATAGAGGTCAACTCCTGCAAATATACCCTGGTCCATTCTTCACTAGACAGCACCTGCTGTGGGTTGAATTGTGTACTCCAAAATGATACATTCAGTGCTAGCCCGCACTATACTTGAATGTGACCTCACCTGGAAATAGGGTATTGCAGATGTAATCAAGTTAAAATAAGGTCCTATGTGGTTAGGGGTGTCCCTAATCCAATGCCTGATGTCCTTATACAAAGAGGGAAGTTTGGGCAGAGAGAAGCACACAGAGGAGAGAACCATATGTAGAGGCAGACACAGAAGATGCAGGGGAAGGCCATGTAAAGGCAGGGACAGACATTGCACTGATACCTCCACAAGCCAAGGAGTGCAGGGATTGTCGAGACCCACCAAGAGCTAGGAGAGGCGTGCGAGCAGTCCTTCCCTAGAGCTTTCAGAGCAAGCGTGGCTCCACTGACACCTTGGTTGTGTGTTTCTAGCTTCCAGAACTGTGAGATAGTTTCTATTGCTTAACATCACCCAGGAAACTTTGTTTTGGCAGCCCCAGGAAACTAATTAACTGCCCAACTCTGTATCAGCATTTAGGTTCAGCAAGGATACAACACTTCATAAAATGCCAAAACAAAAGTGTGGAGAAGTAAAGCAATTTGTCCTAAATCCCATAGTGATTTTATAATGGCCACATCAGCA